ATTTCTACCATTAGATTTACCACCATCCGAAATTAAATACACTAAATCACCAACACACACATCTATTTTTTGCAATACCTTAGAATAAGGTGCCTTTGATTTTTCACTAAATTGATGATTCTTTAAGCGCAAATTCGTCTTACCCTGGATAAGATCCAAATCATTTAAAGGAATCGGATGGGCCTGAAACTGATCACGTTGGGTCCACATTTCACGAGCAGACAATCCAGATGAGCGAATCCTAGTGTTAAGCCTGGCAGTAGCTAAAGACAAAATTAGTGGCGTAATCCTTCCACCCATAGGTTCCTGGCGAAGAATCTCGTTAATTAATTCCTGCACAGCCTTCTCTGCGACAGGGTTTTTGTTTTGGTTTTTAACGCGACCTACTTCAATAGAAACACGTTGTTGCCTTAGAAGCTGATCATTCACCAACGCTTTGAATCCAGGGACAGGGTCAGTTCTAACAACGGCATAGGGCCCATCTACAGGCCTAAGCTCGATGCACATCCACAGCAGAGCATCACGCAAAGTCTCGGCTTTCTCGTCGTCAATGAAGCAGTATAGGCAGTCACACATTCTCTTAGCAAAAAGATAAGCTGACCAGATCGTTTGATCACGTCACATGCATAGTTGATTCCAATAGCATCAGGAGGGTCACTCGTTGATTGTTCCTTGGCGCTTCGAGGAATCCTACTATGTGATGCACATTGATGACAGTTTTGAGTGACAGACGAAATGGCTTTGTCCATGTCAAGAGCAAAAAACTGGCGACTCATTACTTGTTTTAACTGATGCGAGGAAGGGTGATCAAGTTGTATGTGTAACGAAGTCACAAGTCCGTCCAATACAGTACGGGGAACAACAATACGATCTCTTCTACCCTGAAGTGGTGCTACGCGAGGTACAACTAAAAGTCCATCTTTAGCAATTGTGGTGACATTTAAATATCGTTTGACATCTCTAATGTTGGTTATTTTGATGGTCTAGTGCCCTGTATGAGATAAGCATGCACACGACGGAGATCTCCACACTCCCCCTGAATATCAAGCCACAAAGAACGGTTACAGAAGGGAAGTTTACCCTGTCCTTTAAGAATGTCTGGCACTAAAAGATGGCGAACAACCGAATCCTCCGTTAAATTTACAAATGAGCAAATTTGACAAGAAGAAGTAACACAGGGTAGAGCATTCCTGCTAGCAAAATCAGAAGGCACATTTGCGGAGCCAGCCAAATGCCGCACTGAAGCCTGGTAACGACTAATTATAGATAAAAACGTGGATAAGCGTGGACTTATGGAAAATTGGCCGCGACACAATTTTTCATACGCAAGGTTTGCTATCAATTAGAATACACGCCTGATGTTTTGATTGGATAATGAATGGGCTAAAGTGTTTAGTGGCTACGGCGATCGATAATGCCTCAATTTCACATGGGATCCATGTCGGTTGGCGACCCCTTAGTTTAGCGCTAAAAAACCCGGCGACCCTTTGCTTTCCACTCCTTGTCACATAGAGGGTAGCGCTTATACCATAATCCTTAACAGCACCATCTGTTATGATCCACAAAACGTCATCCGGACGCGGTAGAACAATTGTTTTACTAGTGTTCAATGCGGATTGAGCGCGTTCAAAAACCGACTTGAGGTGATCAGACCAAACAAGTTTTTCATTCGATTGTCTACCAGCGGACAGTTCATCAAGGGGTCCAATCAATGCAGCACACCCTGATATAACGCGGGCCAGGACCTTATAGGCACCGACAAAGGAGCGTATACCCCGTACGGTTTCGGGAAGAGAACATGTCGCAAGTGTCGATACTCTGTGAGTGCTCGCGCGAATACTACCTTAATCCCAGATCCATCCTAGTAATGAAACAAACAGTTTGGACAAACAGTGGTTTTTTTTGCTGACAAATTAAGATCGTTTTTGTGCAAAGCTGCTAGTACCCTTGACCAGTTATCGTGCAACTCTTCAATTGTGTCGCGGCCGCAGTAAAGATCGTCGGCAAGTTTCGCGACGCGACCTTCTTCGGTTAGTTGACCCAATACTCTACACATCATTTCCTCTAACGCGGTTTCTGAGCCTGGCATGCCCATCGCAGACCGTACATACACAAAAAACGCCACGAAATGGTGAAGCGACACCGCAGTACTTCATGGACTCTTTCGAAAGGGGTATTTGGTAAAACGCGTTCGTGAGATCTGTGGAAATTATGTATTTCCATTGGGCAATCAAGCGCCAAATGGAGTCAACATCCGGCATAAGCGACGGTTGGGGCTTACTATAATGCCCAACATCGGCAAAAGCAGTAACGAGACGAAACGATCCGTTCGATTTCTTAACTAATAAGGACGGATTCACGTATTCGACAGTTATACCAACAT